GGCAAAGAATTTTTTCGTGACGAAGAACCCCCCCCCCCCCCCCATTCATGGGGGGGGGGGGCAATGCATTTATAGTCGAGGGATTCACCCGCAATTGCCTGAGTGCATGGCCTCTTCGCCACTTCACCTTCCCTCCGACTCGTGCGTGCTCGAAGGGATTCTCATGTGACCGCATACTTCATTTAAAGAGTCCAGTTTCATACGGTGTTTGTATTTCGTTTGGTGCGTTGGCGGTGCAGCACGTATCGTCAGTAGGGTAAGATCCGACCGCTAACTAGTTAATAATCCTTTAAATAGTTAATAGTCCTTTAAGAACACGTGGATTCCTATGGGAGGAAAATAGCTCCTTCGCTAAAAGGCCCCGTTATCTCCCCTAAATGAAGTCTGCACATTCGAACTTCAAGCTCAAAAGCCACTGCATTTCCACAATAGGTTTGTCTGACGTAAAAGAATAGCAGTATTTCTAGCCTATCGCCTATCGTCTTCGAGCATCAATTGATGCTCTCGCAAATTATTTTGGGATTGAATTCGTAATACCACCGAGGTATTGCGAATTCAATCCCAAAATAATGGAAACGGAAAAAGCTGAGACTCCAGAGGACATCCTTCATCAGACGGTTTTAAATATATATTTTATAATAAAGAACCATGCTCATCTGTGTCGCCATCTGCAATCGACGGAAGTGCTCCTTTGTTTTGAGGATGCGTGGGGTACGAACAGCGGCGTATTTTTCAGTTAATTTTTTCCCATTTGGTTTTGCATGAAATAAAATATATATATATCTGAAAAGATGAACTTGTTTCTGGCTTCATTGCACACATCACGGCATGAGCACAGAAAATCTTGATCGAATCTATTATGCATCTCCAGGCCTTTTGGGAAAATTGTCCATGGATATCAGTTGCACTTTTCAGTCATATTTTCAATAGCATTGATCCTCAATAGAATGCCTTTGATTGCCTGTTCAAATTGAAGAGTCTTTCTAGCAGTTTTAGGCATTTAATTAAAAAAGTACTTCGTGAGGTCCAAAAGCGACCCTACATGGCCTGGTGAATGTCAAAAAAAAAATTTGATCCAAAATGATGCCTTCTACTGAGGGAATTGCTTTCTTTACCCTGAGTTCAACCTGGGTCTAGTGAGACCCTTTCTGATGGAAAGAATTACAAGTAGATCCTGTATCAGGCGTGCCACGTACGTCATGTTTGGACAATGCATGAACGCTGTTTGTGTGGCTGAAATGCTGGACATGTTAGTCAAACTTCGATGCTGCAGAAGTGCATGCCTACCCTATACACGCACTCAAGATTCAAGATAGCAAGAGGTGATTTCACCCATTTCGATATCACGTGTCGAGGTCGAACGTTCCTTAATTTTAGGATAGGCTTAACCCTCTTGAAGCTAAATATTTTTGTATATTTGTTTTGTTTTATTTATTTATTTATTTATTGACTATCCTAGTTGCCTACTGTCTAGTACCTAACGTCAACATTGCCCCCCACCTTTTGCCTGTTCATGAAAGCATCCAGTTTCTTCTCATCGAAAGTAACTTCTACTTGTAATTAGCTACCCTTGGTGAGAAGTAATTCTACTGGTAGCTAATTACTTTTTGGATGGAATACTTGTAATTGTAACTAGTTACTTATAGATAGTCACAGCGCGTGGCAGCAATTTCTTGGTCTTGGTTTCCACGCGTTCACCACTCTGCAAGTAAAGAATTCCTGTCNTAGGGTTCTTCTTAGCATCGCCAGCCAGCCGTTCCTCTCGCTCCCGTCTCGCAGATCTAATTTCCCGCTTCAACGTCCGCGTGATCCTCCGATAATCCTCATAATCACGCAGAATCAAATTAATGCTTTTAGGTCGTGAAAAAAGTTGTCGTCCATGTGATGCGTTTTTATCGCATCCAAAATTTGATGCGATGAAGACGCATCATATGCAGGACAGATTTTTTCGCGAGAAAAATGCATAAAACTGAGGCATTGAATTTTCTGTTCCTAGTAACCCCAGCTGAGCGAGTTTCTCATATGCAGCGCCAAGAGTTGCACAGCAATCGGCAAAGCAATTGAACTAGAAGAAATTGTAATGGACGTGACAGCCTATAGTCACCATTTCCCGTGAACTCCATCAGATCTGTTCACCGATCCAGATAAAGGGAGGGAAATCTCATCAGCTAAAAAATTTCCAATAGAATTTTGTAGAGGTCGAAAAATAAAGGGCATATATTTACTTTTTGCGAGCCTTGCAATGTTGGGCGCGTTACTTGCGAAAAGTAAATAGTTACAATTACAAGTATTCCATCCAAAAAGTAATTAGTTACCAGTAGAATTACTTCTCATCAAGGGTAGCTAATTACAAGTAGAAGTTACTTTCGAGTTACGTTTCCTGAGCAAAAATTCTGATCCTTCGACAGCTTCTTCACTTCTTTGACAGCAGCATTAGCATGGAGCAAACGTTATCCCTGATTTCAAGAAAATTGAATTGTGATTATCACCGAGCTGGATAAATATTCATGCTCACTCTTTTCCCTATGCCTTTTCCCTTCCCATGGGCTACTCAACAGGAATTAAATGCTGACAGTCAGAATGCACCCTTTAGTTTTAAAAATGCCAATTTGTCATTGGGGATGTGAAGACCTAGTCCAACCTGTCCCCCCCCCCCCCATCATGGGACTCAGAAAATTTGAAAAAATCAGTCATGTTCTCTTGTTTTCCCTTAACCAGACATAGACTGAACAAATCCAATTCATCCAGCGATTGAAAATGAATTTTCCCTAACTTTTTACTATGTACATGGTATTTTTATGGCGCAATCAAGGAGAGGAGAGTGTACCGACCATGAAATATGGGGACTAGTGTCTGAGGCATTCATGTTACACGTGGTACAAATTCACTTGCAAATCACTCTACGTTAAGTTAGGCCCCACTATTAGGCTTAGCACTCGCTCGTCCAAGATTTAACAGCCTAACTAATGCTTTATTGTCGGGAGGGTGCACTCGAAATATGGGGAGGCAGCTTGGGTCTACCCATCCGCCGAGCCTAAAGGGGATCGGACGAAATTGAGACGCCAGCATTAAGCATACGGAAGTTTTCCGTGCAGAGGCACCATCATAATCAAAGCAACGCCTGTCATTAGGACCTAACGTTAGGCCAAACGACTGTCTGGATGAAGTCAGGACACGATGGAGCTCATCTAGACGTGCTTTCTCAAATTAACGTTCGTGAGACGGAAAGTACCTCGGTCGTCAGTACACATAATGGGCACTTCACGCATGCACGGAACTCTCGAATTCATTTTTCCTAATCTCCTGCACTTCGAAATATTTTCGCAGGTACGACCAATAAACCTGCAGTGCTAAAACCATCTCATATCAATATCACGTCCCCGCCTTTCCTCCCTATTTTGCATCAATTAGGACGCATGTAGTCATGTAGTGCTGGTTGTTTTCAGCAAAATTAATCATCAAGAAACGGAACGCAATACAGTAGAGCCACATACTTTTCTCATGAAAAAGGAACTAGTTACCAGTTCCGTTACCCTCCCCTGAAAAGGAACTCGTTACCAAAAAAAGTTACTGAAAAAAGTAACTAGTTACTGTAACGCGTTACTTTTACTTCGTTACCGCCCAACACTGGAGCCTTGACATATGCTCGCCCATGAGTAACGGGGTCACCTGAAACCGCCGTTGATTCCCAGGTAATTCAGGCATTTAAATGGTGTGTCACGCAACAGGTTTCTCCTCTTCCGAAGAGAAATTTTCTCGTGTCCTATTTTCCATGGAATTTCTCAGCAAAAGAAGAGTTTTCGATTCCGAATATGAGCAATAAATTCTCCTTAAAACATCTTTGCTGAAAACTCGCTTCCTCCCCAGAAAAAAAGGTCGAAAAAAATCGTCAACTTCGGTACTTTCGGTCTGCAAAAATTCATCTGGCGAATTTGGAATCATGCGTCTTCCTTGATGCAACGGTCCAAACGAAGTTCGATTCTTCCATTTGCATTTGATTCACTGATCAGGTCTTTTCTGTAATTTTACAAGTACTTTCATGGCACTACAAACTTGCTTCTCGATGACTTCCACACCTTTCCCCCTTTCGTGCCCCCAAGTGTTCGCAAATCCGACCGACTTCGGCCCCTCGCCTCTCGGGGCTGCCTTTTCGGCGCGGGAATTCCCGCGAGGAATTCCCGCGAGGAATTCCGACTCGGTCGTGGGTGAAATTTGGGTCGAGTCGGTGCTCCATAATAAAGCAATATACGACCTCGCTTCAAAAATTATTAGGCTCTGCCATCCGGGTGAAGGGGAAGGGGATTGAACCTTCCTCTTTCTGCCTTGGAATACCACTTGACATACTCCCCATTTGAATGCCATGCAGAAAAAGTCTATAGGAAAGGCTTCGGCAGTTCATTCTTTGCTGATAATATCTATTTCACGCTCTCCAACCCCCCCCCCCCCCCCCCTCCCTTCCTCAATCAAATGTTTGTTGAGTCTTACATCGCACAATTCTGACTCGTTCCTAGCATCTTCGTCTTTTGTATAAAACTCATCGGTGAGATGAAAAATCGTCTCGCCCATCTCGACGGCCAAGGCGCAGAGCAGCCTCAGAAATGCGTCCGTGAAAGCGTGCAGCAGCAAGGAAATCGGCTCTTTTACGAGATCCTGTATGATGATGCTCTGAACTCTGAGGCTTGATGAGAACCATGCACTCACAGTTGCATGGCTTTCCCGGAAACTCCGGTGCGATCTCCAAAACCCATCTCGTCGAGCCAGAACTCGCTTATTGGGAAGCTCAAGTTGTCAGAATATTCCCTAGTTGCAACTCAAGATCCAATTCCAAGGGTATTTGCTGAGATGACAGTTCCACCAAAATTAGATATTCAATTAAGGCTTCCTCCACTCTTTTCTTTTTATGTGAAGACAGGGCACGTGGCGGACACAAACGAAAACGGACGTAATTACGGTACACAGAGAAGGGGGTGTCCACGCCAAGCTGGCATCATACACCCAAATCACGGTCCATCGGGTTGGGACACCCAAATCACGGTCCCTTGGGTTGGGACACCCAAATCACGGTCCCTCGGGTTGGGACACCCCATCACGGTCCTGCAGGAGGCAGAGGGGCAGCTTACAGGTTGCCCAAGACCATGACTGCTCCCGTTATCTCTCGGACGAGGCCGAGTGTGTCATCCCACGCTAAGCGGACACTCTCGATGGAAGCAGGTGGGTCGCCTGGGAGTCCCACCGCCATCCTCGCCTCCCCGGAACCCGGAAACCAGAACCTCTCGGACGTCGAACCCGGTTCGCGGGATCGCTCATACTGTCGATGTGGTCTCCAAGATTCAAGATATTGCGTGTGGCAGACCAATTCTGCCAGCGGATTTGTCTTTCTTAATGCTGAAATAATACGAAATATAGGAATCCACTCCCTTTCAGCTTTCTTTCCATTCATTTGGTGAAATGCATATGCTCGAAGAAAATCGTTAGCATTTTTTAATGGGAGGAGGGGGGGTTAGGAAATCAATCCTTAACCCCTTTCATATCTGAATTTAAAAAAAAGGAACTTACTTCGAATTCGTGCAGAGGATAATAATGCGCTCTTACGAGACGTTCACTAGACTCGCACTGATACAATGAGGCTGTCGTCATTTATTGCATCGGTGACAGAAACCAATCTGATGAGTCAATGCTGGCGATAGCTCGCAGGCATACATACGATGGATTTAAACAATTCGGAAAGTTGATGGTTCCAAACGGAACCATCCGGCACGAAAGGGTTAAAAGAATTCCTTGCCCGCTCAAGTTTAAAGGGAAGCATTCCCAGTTAAAACATCCTTTTTTGTTCTTTGCCCTTTCATGATGCAATCCTACACGGATCTTATGTCAAAGCCGACCAAAATCTGTTCATTGCTGAAGGTCAATTGCTACACTGCTTCATGGGAACATGGAATCGCCATGAATAAAATGCTAATTGAAAACCATGAAGACATACCGAAAGTGGAAGAGGTCCCAAAGGCCGATCAGTCATGCTGGTGACACAGCGGGTCGACAGCGTCCAGATTCGACGCCCCAGTGGGCCGAAAACCCAATGAGAAATTCTGGAAGTGGAGGGAGGGAAAAAGGAGGTCAATTTTCTGCAGAATCTGCGAAGGTTCAGCAACACCTTTGGGTAAACCATTGTAAAAAAAAAATAATAATAACAATAATAATAATAATAATAATGAAATGGCGATCCATATTAGCAACATAATGCTTTCGCACAAGCACAACCGCTCGGCAATAAATAGCGCGGAATAAGCAGCGAGATGAAACGCGACGAGGCAATGGATAATGGGATTTCGGCGAGGAGAAGCCGAACAGCCGGGGAAATCCATCTCCAGAAAGGAAATGGAAATGGAGATAAACCTAGGGATCTCAGGAGCTTCGGATGGGACAAATGATCTTTCGAGAGGGTATCAATGCCCTAGATCCGCCCTTTTATCCACTTATCCGCGATTGTTACGAGGGAATTATCCATTTCTAGGAAATCCACCCGCGAGGGAAAACTTGCAAGGAGGATGAGGAATTTTTTATTTCCATGGCTGCAGAAATAATTTGTCATCAGAAAGGCCCACCTCTGAAAAATCAGCAGTTCAATCGTTCTAGAATTATTTATATCCAGATTCCAATGATGCAAGAACGGTTCGTCGACGAACGATGAGCACTCGAATCATGTGCCAATTTCAGCATTTTGTTTGACTTTCTAGAAAGTTCTGGAAGACTCCGGAGCAGTACTTCTGGAAAGTTTCTGTGCCTAACGGCAATTTCTTTTTTTTTTCTAGATGCATCTAGCATCTATATTGCATATTGCATCTAGACCATCGCGACAGAGAGAATGGCTCTAATTCTAACCATGTTCTAGATATGGTAGAAAGGGAAACTTGGGACGCAAATAACTGCAGGGAATTTCAGTTCTGGAATTATCGTACCTTTGAGGCAAATCCCCTCAGGGCCCAACAATTTTTCCCAAATATATTTTCCTTCCAGCGAAACGGGCAAATCTCTAATGAGTGAAAACGTAGTCCCTTCAGGACTCTCTCCATTTAAAATGTTACTTTAGAGGCAAATCCCCACAGGGTACAATTTCTTGATGGTGACAGATTTCAAGAACTTTTTCCCTAAGACAAAACCGAGAGACTTCACTGCGGGCCACTCCGAAACGTCTCAGACCATCCTCCAAGAAACGAAGCGAGACTCGTCGAAGCCCATCGCCGCTCGTGTGAGCTCCATCCTCCTTTTCCTCGTTCTCCGCGACTTCTCAGCGGACGCTCGCCCGATGACAGCGGGACGAGCGACCGTCTGGGTCCCGTCTGGGGCCGACTCGATCAAAAAAATCGTTCAAGTCACTTTTTAGAAGGTATTCGTGAGGCGAACCCCATCGAGTATCTTCATCGGTATATGCACGATTTCAACCTTTGGCAGAGGCACTGTTGTCAGAGGGTGCTAAGAACCGGCTTCGGAGTCAAAATCGCCTTTCCCCAATTAGTGGCTGCAGTTGAACACTTTTCAATATGAAATTCTTATATTCTTGCTCAAAAAATCCCTGGACATTCCGTTTAGGCAGAACTCCGAGTTCTTCGAGGAGGCACAGAAGTGATGAATCGGGAAAGACAAAATCGTTCTTCACCAGGTGTCACTACTTCGCGCTTCAGTGGCTCTGAATGTCTACAGAAAGGGACGAACTTGCACCAGCAACTTCAAAGAAGTACATCTAATAAATTGAGTTTCTGCTTTCAGTCTCTTCATCTTCATTTTCAGGAGGAAATTGTAAGAACTTTCGGAGTGACGCACTTGGCTGGAAATAGATATAAAAATGTCCGTCGGGTTCACCAGTTCCTGGGAAAACCTTTAAACGTACCTCGTATATCCTCGAAACCATTTTCCCCGTGGCACAAGTATTTACTGAAATGTTTTCGCTTCCACCAATCAGGGAGAGAAATCAAATTGAAGTCAAATATTGAAATGTCTAGCTAGGAGAAATGTCCAGCGAGGAGAGTGTTAAACCCTGGACTGGAGAAAGTCGAGGGACAAATCCGTTTTCGCAATTCTGCCCATTATTACTTCGCTACATTATTACTTCGAATTTCGCCACAATAGTCGAACTCGGATCCTTGAGATGAATTTCTAAGTTCGTCGAGCTGCGGAGGCGTCACAATAGTGAGTTTGTTTTTTGCCAAAAAAAAGCATTAGTCAATGCCAAAACAAGCATTAGTCATGAATGCAGTGAATCCGTTGATATGCAGTGCGAAACTTCAAATATATATTAATATTCAACAGCACGAAAATGAATGAAAAAAAGATCGACCAGAAATCCCCGTCTCTCGATGGCACCGTCCAAAACGATGAGAACATGCAATAATTATTAGGATGCTATTACGTATGTACCGCTGAAAAAAAGGAGATGAATATCATCACAAAACGTTTCCTGGTAAAGACGGACGGAACCCCCGAGGGAGTCTGCAGCAGACGAGGCGAGAAGAATCTTAGAAAAACGCTGTTCCACGAAGATTCGACAGATCTATAGAAAGTATCACACTTCCCCCATGAATCACATTGACCGATTTTTTGTAGGTCAGCATGGCACTGATGGAGCAAGGAGCGGTGATGCAGAATCAATGCTAAAAAAAGACACTACTCCTCGCAGATACGACGGATCCAGAAAAAATCACTAGACTAGACTGCACAAAACATCACTAGAGACAAAATCTCTTCCATTGTAGGTATGCAGCTGAAACCGAATTCATCTAGCTCTCATGCAGTAAACAAGGTAAAAAGCCACAATATCACGCAGATTCGATAAACCTAGAGGTTTCATAAAATCTTTAATTTCTACCTTTCACAGCCAGTGAAAAGAAAATTACAAAATAAAAAAACTCCTATAAGGGGTCATATCACATCACAGAACTTTTACGAAAGCTGATCTTTTTGAATTCAGAGCGAGGTCCACTTCTCTTGTTCACCGGTTTGACGATGGGGTGAGGTCTGGGTCTGGAGCCTGGATTCGGTTCCCCGCCTCCAGGAGGGCTGGGAACCTCCTCTTGGCACGATGATGGGGCGCTACCGTTTCGACCAGATTTGGCATATGGAAATGCGTCTCTTGCCGTGATCCTCGCTCTCCTCAGATGCAGAAGGTGATGGTTGTTCCATTTTCCGCTTCCGCGATTGGTCTCCAAGCACCATTGAATGTGGCCGGATTTTTTTCCTGCACGCAAGTGAGGTGGAATGACTCCTGGATTCGTTTTTGGAATCTCTCGGAAAATATTCAAATGATTTGGAGAATTAGAAAAGTGAGGAACATTATTCTTCCCAATGTATTTCATGCATATTTAATAGATCGTGGAATTGCAGAGGGTATATAAAGTCAAGATTGGCGCTGTCAAGACTCGAAAACGTTTTGCTCAATGGGAACAAGTGGAAAAGAAATAGTTCCACATCAAGATTTAGGTCCGGCGAAAACATATGAAGCAGTCTCTGTAAGTACTTTCTCAAGGAATACGAGGAAATGCAAAATAAAAAAATTTGCAGCAGCGTCCCTTGCTCCTGACAGAAAGGGCAAATAGAGGGAGTGTGGGGATTCATCTTATTTATTGAATGATGTGAAGATGAACCCCGATGCAGCAACCTTCAACATACATCTCCATCCTTCTTACACGAAGGATATCGGTATGGTGCTCTCCAAATTGGAGATATGGAAATCGAATCGAATGAATAAGGAGAGGCAGAAGGAAATTCGTCAAGTTGGATCTTTTCCCTTATTTTTGCCATATCCAAAGAAATTTGCGGGTCGGCTGACTTGGCTGACTGACATTCATAGGCTGTGTGGATTTCAAATCTGATAAGGAACGTCTCTGGATTAGAGCATAAAGTGACTGGTAGGGAGTGTGCGTCCAGGCGGGTGACAATTCGATGTTCTGACCGAATAAAAAAATATTTTACCTCTGTGGAACATATTGGAGACACAGGAGAGAAAGGAAAGCGGTGGAACAAGACTTGGGAAGCGTGGTCCAGAATCGAATCAAATCATGATAGTAAGATGTTGCGCAAACGTTTGGAACAATATTGGAAAGAGATAGTATGAAGAAAGCTGGAGTTCGGGAGGGTGAGAGATCGGAACCGTGACCTACAAAATACAGAAAGGAATTTCTTGATATGTAATTGTATGAGAGTGCGCTTTACGTGACTCAGGCGAAAAGCTAGTCGTCTTCTAATCATATTAATCCTTGACCTCCTTGGATGAGAGGCTCGTGTAATTGCACTGGATGAAGCCAGTGTTTTCCCCTTCAGACGATGTTTCGAAATTGCTCTTCGATCTTCGACAAGAATCCAGGTGGATCGAAATGTGCCAAAATGTGCCATAGCTTAGTTGCGATGGGTTGATTTAAAATTAAGACACGTCCACGATAGGACACGAATTTAAAACGGTGTCGCCGCTGGTTTATGCATGCTTTAGCTTTTTCTTCGACAAAATCCCAATTTTTCGATTCAAAGGAACGAACACCTAGATGAACTCCCAGAAACTTTTCGTCCATCGTCATGCCAATGGAAGGTTCCAGGATTACCTGTCCTGGTCCGCCAGGGCCCTCACCACAGACCTTGCGTCTGTCTGACATTCAACAACGAATATGAATAACGAGCTCTAACATAGATCTCGTAAGAGTCCGTAAGAATTTTAAAACCAAAGTCAGAAGTAATGAAAACAGAAACATCATCAGCATCAGCAGAAACTATCACAGGACTTAATGCCCAGGAGGAGCACAGGAGGAAAAGAGAGACAGGCGATGTCGCAGCAATTGAAAAAATTGCTGGATAGAAAGGGAGTACAATTGACCGGACAGAGGGTCTTATTCCGCGCAGAAATGTAAAAGGTGCAGATAAGAATTTCCCGATGCGAACCAGAGACTGAATTCCATTATAGATGAGTCGAATTGCTTCTAGAAAATAGGAGGGGATGCCAAATTTATCCAGAGTATGAAAAAGATATTCGTGATTCACTCTGCCGAAAGCCTTTTCTTGGTCGAGAAACACAACACCGAGGGGAGTTTCATGGAAATTGGCGGACCATATGACATCTCTGAGAAGGTGGAGATTGTTATGCATGGTACGGCCCGGAGTACAATACGTTCGATCCGCATGGACGGGCGAGTTGATAACTTTCTTCAGTCGTCCGGCTAGGACTTTAGTGAAAACTTTGCAATCGATGTTTAATAACGTGATGGGTCCCCAGTTACGAATGTCAAGCCGATCCCCGGACTTGGGGTAAGGAGGGTCAAAATTCCTCTCCTCGTGGATAATGGGAGCTCACCAGATTGCATAGCATAATACACGACATTGGAAATGTGCTCTCGAAAGAATGGTCAGAAATGTTGGTAAAACTCTGCCCTCAGACCGTCAAGACCTGGGCTTTTTCTTCTCGAAAGAGATTTAACAGCAAGGTCAAATTCAGAAAATGAAAAGGGAGTAAAAGTATCGCAAGATTCTTCAATCGGAAGCAAGGGAAGAACGCCGAATAGATCTGCAGAAAAGTTCACTGGAGTCAGAGAGTACAGTGACTCATAAAATGAGGAAACATATTTTTAAATGGACGAAGGGCTTGCTAAAATGTCATGATTGGAATCTTTATTAAAACTGTTTAGCGTCTGTTAAGCTCCTTTATTAATCTCTAATGAGAAGAAGAAATGGGATGGGCATCCATTGCTTCGTGAGCTTTCTGTCGAGAGCTCCTTCGGCGATATTTGTCAGATACTGCGTAAATTCTGTCTGTTTCAAAAGGAGAGAAGAGGAAGAAGGATCAAAACTCTTCAAGTACTGAAAATCTGATTGCAATGAATAAAAACGAGTGAGGAATGTGGAATTCTTTTTGATGCATAGTCTTGTGTAAAGCCTTTAATGGCAACTTTTGTAATTTACTTTCCCACTAATATATGAAATTTCCATAATGAATTCGCTGAGATTCTTCTGAGATGCCAAAAGTCACGAAAGGAACTGCAGTAATCCTGATCCTTAAGGAGGGAGGTATTAAAATGCCAAAAGGCAGGATTGCCTTTTGGCATTTTAATGCATATGAGGTATGATCAGAAAGTGGAACGCATGGAATAATGAATTCGTTCTTCAGTTGAGCTAAGACTAGGGTATTTACATAAAAGCGATCCAAGCGTGCCTGTGGGTGGTTTCTTTAAACGCCGGTGTACGTAAGGTACGTAAATGAACGTTCAGATGAGTAGAAGTCGCGCCAAGCATCAGTTAAATGACTAGACTCCATGAGTGTGCAAACTTTTCTGAAGATCTCGGCGATATTCCTGGCAATTGGCCCTGTCAAGATCTGGATTAAGTGCGCAATTAAAGTCTCCTCCAACAATGAGGGAGTAGAGAGTCATCTCTTTCGAGAGTGGTCATTACATGCGAGGCAAGATCATCTAATTGAGCCATATAGTCAACGTTACATGATGAACGTCAAGACAACGTTACATGATGAACGTCAAGACAACGTTACATGATGAAGTTACGACTGTACCGTGCAAAGCAACTCAATGATATAAAGTATCGCAGAGCTCGAAATGTTTCCCATTAAAGCTGAGGGGCTAAAACCGAGTTCATGAGCCGCAAATATTGCATTACTTCTGGAAAAACGTAATCAAGCGCGAAAACGACAATACTGCGAAAAAGCATCCATCACAGTGGCACGGAGTATCGCTGAGCTCGAAATATTTCCCATTAACGCTGAATGGGCTAGAACCGACTAAAGCTGTGGCGAATACTGTAACGCTTCTGTGAAAACGCAATAATACGCGAATACGACCATACCGCGAAAAAGCGTGACAGCGGCAGAAAGTATCGCCCAGATCAAAATGTTTCCCATTGAAGCTGAGGGGCTAAAACCGACTAAAGCTGTGACGAATACTGCATCGCTGCAGGGAAAACGCAATAATACGCGAAAACGACCATACCGCGAAAAAGCATCACAATGGCACAAAGTATCGCTGAGCTCGAAATATTTCAAATTAAAGCTGAGGGGCTAAAACCGAGTTCATGAGCCGCGAATATTGCATCGCTTCTGGAAAAACGCAATTATACACGAATACGACCACACAGCGAAAAAGCATCACAAAGGCACAAAGTATCGCTGAGATCGAAACATTTCCCATTAACGCTGAAGGGGCCGGAACCGACAAATTTTGTGGCGAATACTGTAACGCTTCTGTGAAAACGCAATAATACACGAATACGACCATACCGCGAAAAACATCACAATGCCACAAAGTATCGCTGAGCTCGAAATGTTTCCCATTAAAGCTGAGGGGCTAAAACCGACTAATGCTGTGGCGAATACTGTAACGCTTCTGTGAAAACGCAATTATACACGAATACGACCATACCGCGAAAAACATCACAATGCCACAAAGTATCACTGAGCTCGAAATGTTTCCCATTAAAGATGAGGGGCTAAAACCGACTAAAGCTGTGACGAATACTGCATCGCTGCAGGGAAAACGCAATAATACGCGAAAACGACCATACGTTCGGTGAAAGCGCAATAATAAGCGAATACGACCATACCGCGAAAAAGAATCACAATGCCACAAAGTATCGCTGAGCTCGAAATGTTTCCCATTAAAGCTGAGGCGCTAAAACCGACTAATGCTGTGGCGAAGACTATAACGCTTTTCTGAAAGCGCAATAATAAGCGAATACGACCATACCGCGGAAAAGCATCACAATGCCACAAAGTATCGCTGAGATCGAAACATTTCCCATTAACGCCAAAGGGGCTAGAACCGACAAATGTTGTGGCGAATACTGCATCGCTGCAGGGAAAACGCAATAATACGCGAAAACGACCATACCCCGAAAAACATCACAATGCCACAAAGTATCGCTGAGCTCGAAATGTTTCCCATTAAAGCTGAGGGGCTAATACCGAGTAAAGCTGTGTCGAATACTGAATCGCTGCAAGGAAAACTCAATAATACGCGAAAAAGACCATACCGCGCAAAAGCGTGACAGCGGCACAAAGTATATCTGAGCTCGAAATGTTTCCCATTAAAGCTGAGGGGCTAAAACCAACTAAAGCTGTGGCGAATACTGCATCCCTGCTGGTAAAACGAAATAATACGC